CGGAAAATCGTCAAGGAAATAATGACGTCACAGAAAGTTGAAAAAATGCTTAGTTCAATGCACCTTCATTTCCACAGATCGGATTAAAAATATCAACACATGGAGACGGAAATAACATTTCAAACGAGGATACGTTTCAAAAAAATGCCTAATGGAATGTGAATTTATAGACTGGCACACAACAGCTCAAGACGAAATTATAGACGGAAACTAAAAGTTATCCTTGTAAAAAATGAGCACGGGTCATAGAAAAGAGGATCTTGTTTTTTTCTTTTTGGCTCTTCAAGAAGGGTAATCGAATCAACTGCGATCGAGAGCATTATTGCTGTTGGTCTCGGTATTGTGCTCGTCCGACGCTTGGTCGACACCCGGATTCGGCGAGCAGGCCCCGGAGTTGGCGAAAAAGAGCTCCCTCGTCGATCCGTCGACACGGAAGCTGTTGTGCCGATGTCGACCCATTCCGGACGTCGGTGTCGGACTGAGCAGCCGCGTCGTCTCCCAGTGCGAATGGAACTGGCGGCCGATTCCGGCGCCGTCGCCCGCCGCCGCGTTACGGATCGTTTCCATCCCCGTGTTGCCACCTACAAACCTCCGTGTGACCGCCAATGGCAGTTGTTGCTGTGTGAGGGTTGAAATGCAACGAGTCCAGCTGAAAACGCACATAGTTTACCAAGCCTTACGAAACACTGAGATCGGAAGATAGAGAAATGCCTACTTTTAAAGTTTTGCTCTGTCTCTCTCGATTTTTTTTGCTTTTTTTTCTCTCTCTCTCCGATTTGCAAGGCGACATTCCGGGGGGGGTCTTTAATTACTTGCGGTTATAACTCCATCTACTTAGCTGCTGACCATCACCACCACCACCACCACCATCATCATCATGCTCATCCCATTCCAGCATGCAACGCAAACTTTTTTTCGTACCCTCTGTCAGCAGGGTTGCGGTTGCGTTCTTTCGATGAATAACTGTAATCATCAAAGAATACTCGTATATTTTCCCACAGTAAATATTCCAAATAGTTTTTTCCACGACAGCTTCGAGCGAAAAAAAATTAGAAGCGATTGTTTTATCATGGTTATTCATTTCTGCAGACTTTTTTTTTCATACTTTAGGATCGGTTAGTTCACTTTGAGGTATGTTACGACTGCTGCAGGCAACCCAGGGTGAATTTAAGCCCTGAAGACCGTGAATATATTTTTCAAATACTGTATGATGCAAATGCAATTTCGAAAGTTGAGGTGAACGTTTGTGGGACCAGCACGTCGTGAAATGCTGGTAGAAAAAAATTGCGACGTCATTCGAAGTACAGGAAGGATTTATCACTTCGAAAACAGCGTATTTGGCCCAAAGGAGCAAATCTGAAGGTGATTCATTCAGAATACTTAGCTTGCATGATACTATCGAATTTAGGATAGATTTCCCGAGGATGCCTCAATTTTTACAACTCATCTATACGATTTTGACGCACAATAGATGAGAATACCACTAAATACAATAATCGAACCTTGCTAAGTCGAAGTTAAGCAATAAAATTCGATTTACGGAGGTTTCGAGTTAGAGCGGTTTTGTGAGTTAAGGAAACGAGCATTTTTGTTCTGGGAAGCATAAAAGAATTGCAGGAAATTGTAAAATGTGATATTCTGGGCCATAAATTGCTTCCTAAATGAGTTGAGAGGATGATGAACTTATAGAGGCAAGGTTAATTTGCCAACTCAGTCTTCCGTTTATTTTCAAAACACTTCAAGGTACATTTTTTCTCTTTCCTGCGTCAAGAAAAAATATCCAAAAAGGCCTAGTAAAGTCTGAGTTATGGAGGCTTGAGGCGAAAAACCTTCGAGTTAAAGAGGATTTTAATGCATGGAATTTAGACAGGAACTCGAGAAAAATTTGAATTGAGGAGTTACAGTATTTGACTTAGAGAGGTTCGAGTTATCGAGATTCATCTTTCATCAAATTTCAGGGTAGAAGCTTATGAAAAGGTGTAAAGATCTCGCCTCTCCAGCAATAATTGCGGCTATTGGGATGATGACGGCATTTTTTCCTCTTCGTTAACATTGCATGACATTTCCAGAACTCAAATTTCATGATTTCAAGTCCGTGACTTTCTCTCAAGTATTGATATTTTCGTTAATCTTGGAGGGAGAGAATCAGTGCGTAATTTTTCTTTTTACTGGGCTAATGAGTGTACAGTATCTGAAATAAATTGTATTTTCTCTCGATACACAGAGCAATGTGCTTTTTTTCCTCTTCTTCAACATTGCATGACATTCTCTGAACTCAAATTTCTTGATTTTACGTTTGTAACTCTCTGAAGTATTGATATTTTCGTTAATCTTGGAGGGCGAGAATCAGCGCGTAATTTTTCTTTTTACTGGGCTAATGAGTGTACAGTATTTTACATAAATTATATTTTCTCTTAATTCAGAGAACAATGTGCTTTTTTCATCTTCTTCAAAATTGCATGACATTCTCTGAACTCAAATTTCATGATTTTACGTCCGTAGCTCTCTGAAGTATTGATATTATCGTTAATCTTGGAGGGCGAGAATCAGTGCGTAATTTTTCTTTTTACTGGGCTAATGAGTGTACAGTATTTGAAATAAATTGTATTTTCTCTCGATACACAGAGAAATGTGCTTTTTTTTCCTCTTCTTCAACATTGCATGACATTCCCTGAACTCAAATTTCTTGATTTTACGTCCGTAACTCTCTGAATTACTGATATTTTCGTTAATCTTGGAGGGCGAGAATCAGTGCGTAATTTTTCTTTTTACTGGGCTAATGAGTGTACAGTATTTTAAATAAATTATATTTTCTCTTAATGCAGAGAGCAATGTGCTTTTTTTTCCTCTTCTTCAACATTGCATGACATTCCCTGAACTCAAATTTCTTGATTTTACGTTTGTAACTCTCTGAAGTATTGATATTTTCGTTAATCTTGGAGGGCGAGAATCAGTGCGTAATTTTCCTTTTTACTGCTGGGCTAATGAGTGTACAGTATTTGAAATAAATTGTATTTTCTCTCGATACA